TTTTTTAATGGGATGGAAAAAAAAAGAATAAAATTAAAAAAAAAAAAAAATAAAAATAATAAAAATATATACATACAATAATAAAAAAAAAATAATTAAAAAAAAAAAAAAAAAAAAAAAAAAAAAACAAAAAAAAAAAAATAATTAAAAAAAAAAACACCTGTTACAGACTGCTTTTAATAAATTTCTTTCTGTTGTAAGTAACCTCAATACATCTTCTGCATTATATATATTAAAATCAGAAAGTTCGACAACCCACCCTTGGTGTCCTTTTCATTCGAAACTCTGGTCCCCTGTAGGTAAAAGGAATGTAAAAAGAAGTGGGTGGAAAGGGAAAACACACACAAACATTGCTTTTTACTCTTCTCTTCTCGTTGTTTACTGTTTTGTTTTTGGTTTATTTGTTTCTTGTTTTTCGACTAGGCGAGATGGACGATTTTCAGAGATAAGAGGTGCGACTTTGACATGTAGCTAGAGATAGCGAGGTGTCGTGTGCGACGTTGACGCGACTGATCAGCCCGATATTCGGCCCAGATGCGCAGGCGAATACAGATGAGATTATTGTTCTTTCCGAGAGAGGCGAGCGAGTAGGAAGATCAGATCACCCAGGACACGAAGATGTAGTGTGAGATACGGAATCGTATGATATGGACGCGAGACGGAGAGCGTAGATCGTCTGGAGAGCGGTGAATATGGTGTATTTTGGTAGTGTTATTAAGATGGAGAAGGATCAGGACCGTGTAACCCGTCTAGAGATGGATGTTATGTTGAGTGAGACGAGATTAGGGGATAAGATCGATTAATCTCCCCCCAGACCGTGGATGAATTGCTGGGGACAGATATCTAGAGGCGTGGGATGGAGTTAGGACACGAGTTTCCTCTCGAGTTGACGATAGATGACGTGAGACGCAGGGGGATGATACGGGTAGTCTGTAGGCCAGCGTGTCGGACGCGGTTTTCGTGGGAGTATTTAGTGCCATAACGCTAATTGCATCGATTTTACATGTTGCCAGTTGGTCTGTCTACTCTTAAAGTTACTTTAAGTATTTTTGCTCCTGACGATCGTCTAGCCACCCCGTACGTTATTGTGAGGGCAGCACGGTTTGAGTAGCGGTGATGGTGCGTGGTTAATGCAGTGTTTGGGCGTTAGTCTATTATTTAAATTAAAATCTGATATGGATATTTGAGAGTATGTGAGTATTGATATCTTGATGACCGACTGGGGAGCGACCCGGACGCGCGTGCTAGATAGATATAGGGAGATAGGATTGAGGCCGGGCGGTGGTGATAAAGGAATCGTGGTGTGTTATTGGTTGATTTGAATTGGATGATGGGATTCTATTAAATAATATTTCTTATTTTGATTGTGTTCAATGAAGGGGGGGGTCTGCCTAAGGAGTCAAGTTTAGGCGCGTTCTCTGGCACCATTGCGACAGCGCGATCCAATACAGTCGATTTGCACCCTACATTAGAAAAGCCCGAGAAGTGTCGTTAGTTAATATCCTTTTTTCTTGACTTATTATTTTTTTTCCTTTTTTTTTGGCTGGAGGGGTGTGAGTTATGGCTCTGGCTTCTGGTGGTTGCTGCGGCGGGTTTGTTGGATTCGAGAGGAGTTTTATAATGCGGCGTGGGGGGGCTGTGGGGTTTGGGGCGGGTGCGGTGTCGTAGGGTGTTAAGGATGGACGTTATGTGGGGGTCGTTGTGTTTGGTGAGGTGCAGCTGAGGAACCTGGTGTGACTGTCTTATGGGTTGACCTGAGTTTCTGCTCACGAGTTATCTTGATGTGTGGGGGGTGGTTTTGGTTGGTTAGCGCTTATATTGGTGCAGTTCATACAGGTCATATGTGGGATGAAGATTCCTTTTGATGTGGTGAGGTTCAGTAAGCCATGTTTGGTAGTAGTTCCAAGGGGGTTGTTGGTGACTTGGGGAGAGGGTGGTGGGGGGTGGTGGTGTGTGCGTGTAGGGTGTCGTCTGTGCTTCTGTCCAGGGTGGGTTTGGGCCGACGGCTGTGGTCTAGGTAGGAACACCGTCCATGTGTGGTCTCCCCCCCCACCTGTGCTTATCCCCCTGGTGGCGGGGGTAGACGGGAAGAGCGGGGGGGGGGGGGGGGGGTTGGTAGGGGGGCCGGGGGGTGGCGGCAGGAAGGGGGGGGGGGGGGGGGGTAGGATGGGGGGGGCGGGGGCGGCCCGGGGGGGGGGGGGGGGGGGGGGGGGGGGCGGCACGGGGGGAGGGGGGGCGGTTCTGTGTGGGGGCCGGCGGGGGGGGGGGGGGGGGGGGGGCGGGGGGGGGGGGGGGGCGCGGGGGGGGTTTTTTTTTGTGGGGGTTTTGTGGTTTGGTTGTTGTGTGTTAAGTGTTTTGTGGTGGTGTGTTTGGTAATTGGTGTTGTTTTTGTGGTGGTTTGGGTGTGGGGTTTTTGTTGGTGTTGGGGTTTGTGGGCTTATTGTGTTTTGCCGGTATAGTGGTGGGGGTTGGTGTTTCCTGTGTTTGTGAGAGGTGTTTTTGTTCTTTGTTTTTTGATGGGTGTTGGTGGGTGGTTTTTTTTGGGTTCGTCGGGTGTATTTTGTTCTTCTGGTTTGTGTTGTGGTTGTTTATGGTAGTTGTTTGTTGGTTTTGTTTGTATGGTGTGTGTTTGTTTTTAGGTTGTTCTTTGTTTTTGGTTTACGTCTGGTGCGCTTTTTTTGGTGTTTGTTTTGTTGTGGTTTTGTGGTGTTATGGTTGTTGGTTTTTAGTATTTGTGTTTGTTTGGGTGGTGTTTGGTTTGTTTGGTGGTTTGTTTTTTTTTGTTTGTTGTGGGGTTGTGTGTTTTGTTGTAGTTGGGTTTGTTTGTGTGTTTTTGTTGGTTTGTGTTTGTTTGTGGTGGGTTTGGGTTGTTGGGTGTTTTTGTTTTGGTTTGGTGTTTTGTTTGTTGGTGTTGGGTTTTTGTTGTGGTGTGGTTTGGTATGTTGTGGTGTTGTTTTGGTGTTGGGGGTTTTGTGGGGTGTGTTGTGGGTGTGTTTTGTTGTGGGGGTTGGGTGGGGTTGTTGGTGTTGGGTGTTGTTGGTGGGTGTTGTGGTTTGTTGGGTTGTGGGGGTGTGGGTTGGGGTTGTGGGTTTGGGTGGTTTGTGGGTGGGTGTGTGGTTGGTGGGTTGTGGTGTGTGGTGTTGTGGGGTGGGTGGGGGGGGTGGGGTGTGGGGGGTTGGTGGGTGGGGTGGTGGTGGGTGGGGGTTGGTGGGGGGTGGGGTTTGGTGGGGGTGTGGTGGGGTGGTGGTTGTTTGGGGGTGGGTGGGTGGTGGGGTGGGTGGGGGGGGGGGGGGGTGGGGTGGTGGGGGGGGGGTGTGTGGGTTGGGGGGGTGTTGGGGGGGGGGGTGGGGTGGGGGGGGGGGTGGGGGTGGGTCGGGTGGTGGTGGGGGGTGTTAGTGGTGGGGGTGTTGTTGGGGGGGGGGGGTGGGGGTGGGGTGGGGGGGGGTGGGGGGGGGGGGGGTGGGGTGGGGGGGGGGGTGGGTGGGTGGGGGGGTGGGGGGGGGGTGGGGGGGGGGGGGGGGGGGGGGGGGTGGGGGGGGGTTGGGGGGTGGGGGGGGAGGGGGGGGGGGGGGGGGTTTGGGTTTAGGTTTGTAGGGAGGTTCTGTTGCGTTTAGGTGGAGGTGTAAATTGTTTTTGTTTATATAATCTATCTAGTCGTTTCTTTATGTTGACTAACTGTTTGTATAACACTCCTCTGTCGGAGGTCGGCCTGTGCGGAGAAGAGGAGACCGGGGGTCGCGAGACGCTTGGGTGACGGTTTGCGTATGGTGGTTGAATATGTGTTTCAATGTTCTGTGAGGTTATCGCATAATTATGATTTTATTTTTTCATCGGATTCAGTTAATTACAGTAAATTCTTATTTTACAGATTATTATTAATAAGTCTTATGAGCCCAAGTATAATTTCTACTTCTTAAAATAACACTTGTTCCACAACACAGATATTATTCAAAACGTTGTAATAAAGATTGTTGGAAGTAGTGGACAGTGGTGGGTGGACACACCCAGTGGGAACAAACACGGCACCAAACTAAGGGTGGGACGAAGACAGACCACCCAATCATACCCACCAAATTGAGGGAACACAGAGCAGGAACAAGTGGTGGGCGGGACAACAACACGAACCCCCCAGGACACACGACAAACACACGACCACAATTTGGATTAATGTGTTCAAACTGTAATTATTTTGTTTTTTTTCTACCATATAAATATAATCAAAGGAGTTTTCCTGGATGCGGTTCGACGCGTCGCGACCGCGGGACCGCCCCGGATCGCGATTTTTGAAATGATGAAAAAAAAAAAAAGGATAAAATTCCGGACGATTGTTTTTTTTTTTTTGTGAAATTTGATAAAAATGAGTCGATTAAATGGCATATTCTTGATTGCCGTACCGTTTCTAGTCAGCGTAGATCTTACTATGATTTATTATTTATGTTACTTGGTATTATGATGATAATCTTATCGGTTTTTTCATCAAGGCACAAATCTGTTGTTGGTTGTGGGTTGACCGTTGGGGTTTACGGGCAGCGTTATTAGTCGGGGCAGCGCAGGGCGGGTGGTACGGTCCTCCCGCAAGTGCGGGGGGTATGGGGGGGTTTGTTTTTGGCGGTGAGGGGGTGGCATTGTGGGTTTGGGCGGGGGTTGTCTAATTCGTGGGGGGGGGGGGGTTGGGTTGGTGTAGGGATGTATTGGGTATGGCTATGGTGTGTTGGCATCTGGGGGTTGGTTTAATCTTTTTATTTGGAGCCGTCAGAGCGTTTTTCCGCGGTTTTCGTTGTTCTCGTTTTCGGATTTCCGTTTTTCTCGTTTTTTTCCCGCCGACGTTTTTCGATTTCCACTCCGGGAAATCTTTCTCCAAAAGGTTTTTACTTTCCCTCTACTGTTTGCAAAATTATGGTAAAAATAATATATAAAATGTTGTGTCTCATCCTAAGTAAAGATTTTGTTCTTTATTGGTTTAGGTCTACATTTTCTTTGGAAGGGTAACACGTTGGACCCTATGAGCATTCGGTTAGGCATACCTTGCCCTGTGGCGGCTTTCGTGACTTTCTTTCGTTGGCAGGTTGTCTCGTTTTTGGTTTCTCGTTGGCGTGGGGGGTGGGGGGGGTGGGGTGGGTGGGTGGCTGGGTGGGTTTACCTCTGGCTTTGGCGGAGGTGGTGGGCGGGGGGTTGGGGCGGGTGGGGTGGTACTGGGGCGTAGTGGGGAGTTTTGGCTGGTTAGGTTGTGGTGCCTCCCCCGACGTGGGTGGCGGTTTGTGTTCCATGTTATAATGTTTGTGGTGGTATAATAAATAAAAAAAATTACATCTGAGTGTGATTGGGTCTCGTTGTTTGTTGTAACGTTATTAATTAAAGCAATAAAAGTGATATATGTTTGTGGTGTATTGGGCTTGTTTTTGTTCTGATTTTTGGTTGCATATGTCTTGTCTGTGTGTTAGTTTGGAGAATAGTCGATAAGCATTTTTTTGTTTGAAAGATAAGAGAGATCCCGAAGATATGGATTGTGTTTTACTCATTTTACTCGGATTCAATTATGGTTGGTATATTCTTGTTGTGGACTTTCTTATTTTTTGTTTTGACAAGACAATTAGGCCGTGAGGTCTCATGCGGCTTGAGGTGTGATTAGCGGGTGGTGATGGAGGATGGCGGGTTACATCTTGAGGGCCAACGCGTGTTGTTCTGTCTCATCACTTATCTGCCGGCGTTTCTGTGCTCGTTGTCAAAGGCATGTTCTTGACGTATGTTTCATGCTTGTTTATCCTGACATTAGTGGTCTTGCTGTTTGTCCCACGTAGAAATTGTTGCATTCATAGGGTATTTTATAGACGCAGGATTTTGATCTTTCTTTCGTGTGGTTGGGTTTGGTTTTTGACAGGATGGACCTCAGTCCGTTGGTTGCTTTAAATATTGTTGTGATGTACTTATTTCCTATCCTCTTCAGTTTTTCTGACAACTCTTTTACATATGGTATTGTTGTCATCCTTGGGTCCCTTCTTGTGAATGTTTCTGGATTGTTTGTAGTGTAATGTTATTTCCATTCTTTAATTTTGTGGAATTCCTTATTTATTAACGACAGTGGCTAGTCATTTTTAGTCAGAACCTTTGTTAGCAGGTTTTTCTCTTCCTGAAATGCATTTTTATTAAAGCAGGAGCTTCGGGCTCTATCATATAGGGATTTGATGATTTCTTTTTTGATGTTTACGTTGTGCTTGGAGTGGTAATTTAAATATCTGTTGGTTTTCTGTAGACTTTGGTTGCAAACCCGGTATCTTCTTTTGTGATTAGCACGTCCAGTAAAGGAAGTATTATTGTCTTCTTGTTCCATGGTGAATTTGATTGATTCTTCTTTATTGTTGATATCCATGAGAAATGTATCCAATGCTTCTGATCCGTGGGACCAAATGGAGAACATATATACATATCTCCAAAATACTGTGGGTTTGTCTTGTTTGTGTACAATTTTGTGTTCAAAAACCTTCATGAATATATCTGCTAATAATGGAGATAAGGATGAGCAAATAGCTAATCCGAAATTTGGCTTATAGTAATCATTATCAAGTTGAAAATAAGTGTTATCTGTGCATAGTGTTAGTAGCTCCATGATAGCTGATATATTCAGTTTGGTTTTTGTAATTAGTGTATCATTCCTCTGCAGTTTGCCTCTTGTTAGTTTTATCCAATGGTACATTGGTGAAAAGAATGGTGATGGGATAAGAACTGACTAGCATGTTGTTAGAATTATAATTTATTTCTGCTAGTTATTGCATAAAACATGAAATGTAGTTTTTGATGAAGGATGTTGTGTTGTGTGCTAAAGGTTGTATTATGTCTAGGAGGAACTTTGGCAGTCTGCCACAAGGGGAAACCATGCTGCTACAAATCGGTCTAAGGGGCACATTATCTTGGTGAATTTTTGGAACTTCATATAAGTGTAGTGTCCTGTTGTAGTGTGGTGTTAATTTTCTTCTTTTGTAGTCTGTAAGGTATTCCTCAAATTTGTCCAGTGTTTTATATATTTTGTTTTCCAGTGATTTGGTTGAGCCTTTTTTTTAGTTTGGTGTAAGTTCCACTTGTGACCAATCCCTGAATTTTCTCCTGGTATTGGTTTTTGTCCATAATTACTACAGTTGCGTTAATAGCTTTATAACTTATAGCGTTATAACTTTGAGTTAAACTTTACTTACATTTTATTGTTGTTTTTGGGTTTTTATCCTTTGTTTTCGTCTTTTTTGTGACAGTCTTTTTAAAAATAAATTTTTTAATTGATAAATAATTTAATTTGATAAAATAAGCCTTTCTCTCAATTTCATTCGTTCAGAATTTATGTACACCTAATAGTTTACATTTAATAACGTTGTAGATAAAAGCTTTCTGGGATAAACAATTTCAATTTTGCAATAACTGTATAACTCGAATATACTCGTATTTGATATTGTCCCTATTACAAGAAATTAAAGCTTTTTGTGCATTTTAGAAAAGTTATTAATAATGTTCAAAACATCGACTTTTGAAGCTTTATTTGGAATAGTTAAGCAAGATATTAACAAAAATAACTTCAATGAATCTAATTTTAACATATTTTCCATACTTTTTCAGTAAAATTGTGCCACTTTCCACATAATTTACCGGTGTTTACCTTCAGTATTTAAAACCAAATAGCAATTTTTTTCGCATATTGAAGCGAATCTTCTATACTAGTTGTATTACTTTTTTTCTCTACAGTAAAACATTGAGGAGAACGTCACGGGATTAGTGCCACAAGACGGCGTCGCTACGGTTAGCGTCATGATACTAAGACTTCCAAGATAAACCCACTTCGCAATCGAATTTTGTACGTCGATGCGAATGACGTCACTTGGTGATAAAAGTTCCACTTTTATCACCAACCTTTTATCAAAGAATATAGACGCTATAATACGCGTCTATATTCTTTGCTTTTATCATCACAGTCGGTAAAACATAATTATATGGAAAGAGAGGGTTTTTATTTAAATATTTAGAATATTTATATATATATATAATATAAAATAGATAATAAAATTATATAAAAAAGTAGAAACTAAACATCCTTTTGGAAATGGAAATTTATATACAATGGATTGATTTATTGAAATAAAAATTTAATACAACTGATAAAATAAAGTACACTGTAATAATTTACAAGTTTATTTAACAATTTATTTTACAATTTTTAATATTTTCTTCTTCTTAACTTTGGATGTTTCTTTAATATATCTATTCAATCTTCTAATTTTAAAATATAATTTACACCTAAAAAAAGATGTTTGACATCTGAACTTACGTTTACTAACATTACATCTGAACACAGCTAAATCCATTAGCGATTTTAAATAATTCTTGATTAATTTTAATGACCCTTTGTTAAAATTGTTAAAAATATGATCCACTTCATTACATTTAATTAGCAAATCTGGATATGATTTAAGTAAACCTCCTTCGGAAAGATGGTTTACCCAGTAAACCGATGTCAACGTACAAGATAAACGATAAAACAATACTAAATCTGACAAAACTCCATACAACACAGACATTTCTGGTGACATTTGTCGCCAAGTGACGTCACACGACTGATCGCGTGCGCGTGGGTTTATCTTTAGTTCATAGTATCATGGGGTAGCGTCATAGAATAGCGGTTTTTGACATCGATTTAGTACCAACAAAATATAGACATGAAATAAGAGAAATGAGAAGTAAAAAATTTAAAAAGCATTTTTCACTAAAAGATTAGATTCGTAACGATTGTTAAAATTTAATAAAAGTCATAATGTCATCCGATTAATAACAACATTGAATCATCTGTTTAAATTTTAATAATAATTTCATATAAATACAATTATTATTTAGTTTATATAATAATTAATTTTACTATGAAATGATATTTATTTATATTTTATTATTAATAGTTGGTCTGAATTTGATAGAATTGCTATAATCATAAGTAAACAACGTATTCTTTTTTAATACGTTAACTGGTGGCGTTAGAAACAAACATAGTAATTTATTGAATTTGTTTAAAATATAAAAAAGTAAACAAATAATAAAATTACTTTAATTTTAAATATATTATTTAAATTTACTACCAAATGATCTTACATATTTACATTTTCATAATTTTATATAAATATAAATTCATATAAATATAATGTTGGATTTTTGCAAATATTAGTTCGACCACTGTATTAAAATGCGATAAAAATAGTTATTAGTAAAATATTTTCATATTTTTTATACAGTCACAGCGGAAAACTCCAATGTGTACCTACAGAGTTGGTGGTCGATAGTTATACAAAATGCCAAAACTGACCATAATTTGTTATTTTGAATTTTGAAATTTGTTTTTGAAAGTTTTTGTACAGAAAAAGTAAAAATGATCTTATTAACGAATGCGTTAAAGCTTATAAAAAGCTTAAAAAAGATACCCCAACACAATGTTTGTTGATTATTATCAGCAATTCTGTTGATTATTATAAAGCTTCGCGAACTTCTGCACTAAATTTATCAAAAGCAGTTGTTGGATACCTGTATCAACAAATTTTACGAAAAAGGCTTCTTTTCTCTGGTCTATTATGCATACAGCTGAAGACAGATAATTGTTTACCACCATAACCGCTAATCTTCAATGATGCAGACTGCACATGAAGAAAAATAAGTGTTACTGAGTATACATAACTAAGTCTAGTTATTTGTATATATATATATATATATATATATATATATATATTATTGTGATATTTAAAGTCTTGGTGCGCCAAGCAATTAATTAGCTACTTAATTGATTAATTAATTAAATTATTTAAATGATATGATTATGATTCTATCACAATTTTTAATTCTCTTATCTCAGGGTTCTATTCGTGCTTCAATATCTATGCTGTTACATGTGAAAGGTAAGGTCCAAAGAATATCGGAATAATAAAAAACATATAGGATCTAATATTATATATTGAAATAAAATAATGAAATAAAATTCACACTCAAAAATTTTCAATAAACAAAATCTCATATAATGATTCTCAAAATTTTGTTCTACGTACGTAGACGTAGTTCTACGTGAACCTTCAAAATTAATGGTACAAACAATATTAGTTGAAATCTCAAAATCCCAAATATTATTCTAAATTTCCTAATCAAAATATTTATATCCTTTCTAAATTAAGTGTAAAATTGTGTTATCAATAAAAGAAAAACTGCAGAAAACAAAACTATCTCTCTCTGATGATGAGTGGTCCAAATCCTTGTTCCT